TGTATATGAATCAACCAACAACATTTCCAGGTTTGAGTGAGTTTGGCCCTTTAGTTACTGATGAACTCTATGGTGGGAGTGAGTTTTACCTGGGCTTTGATTAATTAATCAACAATAGAATGGAAAGTCAGTGCTGGCAAGTGTCCAACATTTAATGTAGTCATCCCTAGTTAATAATCAAGCCTTTGGCTCCATCCGTGATCACAGATAAGTGAAGATACCTCTTTTTTTAGTGGTTAAAACAGAAAAGTTTGAAAATGCATTAGATGTGGATAATGCAATAAACAGCTTTGGCATGAATACTTGACCACTTATATGTTGTTTGTTCCACAATATTTCCACAATCAGTAAGTATTAATGTCTTATTGATACTTGCCTACTTGTAGACGCAATGTAGACACTTTATTTGAATGTAAATGTTTAGAATTGTTTTGTGTGGTAAAATACTTTTTTTTAAATGACACTGACTTCAACTGACCATGTTCTATATAATGTTTTCACAGGTGACCTGTCCCCTGTGCAGATGTCACCAATTTCCCAGTCACAGTTCATTCCACTGTCTGAAATACTGTGCTCTGTCATATCAGACATGAATGCTGCCCATGTGGTTGTAAATCAGGAAGCATTGATCTATCACATGATGAAAGCACACCCAGGTAACACATTATTACGCTGTGTTTCACTTTACTGTGCTTACCTGTACACTACCTTATTACACTTTTATTTGAATTCATATTCATTTTGAAACAGCTACATTCACCAATAATATTTGTTTCAGGAATGACTATTCCCACTCAAGACGTCCTGTACAGTGCTCTGGGAGCTCTTATTAAGGAGAGGAAGATCTATCACACTGGCGAGGGCTACTTTGTAGTCACCCCTCAAACATACTTCATCACCAACAACATGGTGAAAGAGAGGAATTGGTGGAGTGCTGGCGACAATGACCTGCCATCACCTCCTCCCATCACTTACCTGGTGAGCAACGAGAGCTGCATGGACACCTCTACTGAGGTTACTGTCATGGCCCACTGTAAGTCCTGCAGCTGCTTCACCACTCCGTCCATTGTACCGCCATCTGCCCAAGACCATCAATCCATCAGCATCAGTGAGTGCACTGGAAAAAGCCTCAAGTGGCCCAAAGAACACAAACCTTCCATTCAGCACCAGTCCACATCTACCGCAGCAGACTACCAAGTCAGTGAGATAAGCAAATCCACCAACACAAGCCGCAAGGACAAAGAGAAAGCTGGCCGCAAATTTGGGCTTAACCTCTTCCGACGAAACACAGGGAAGAAGGAGAACAAGCTGAAGAAAGAATATGCCACATTCTCTGGACAATTCCCACCGGAGGAATGGCCTGTCAGGGATGAGGATGACTTGAACAACCTCCCCAGGGATCTAGAACATGCCATCATCAAACGGATCAACCCAGATCTGACTGTGGACAATCTAGTAAAACACATGGTTCTTATGAAGAAGCTTGAGGAGAAAGCTGAGAGAACAATGGAGAAAGCTGTGGACAAGGGCATTTCCACTGAAACTCTTCTATCTAAGCAAAGGCTTCATACCTCCAAGTCCGTGGGGAAGAAATCAGCTCCTAGAGCTACTTGCAGCAGGAGAAGAGGACCTTCATCCAAAGAGAAACAAAGGGTAAAGAGTAAAACCTTGCAATGTGCTGAAGATTTAGAGGCAGATGATAAAATTCTTCCACACCTCAGAGCAGAGTTTGCTTTGGATGAACCTGACAATCAGGAAGAAAGTACCATTCTGAATCCGAAATGTGTCTACAAGAAACAGATAGACAACCCATTTCTGGGAATGCCAGGAAGAGACGTGGAAACAAACATCAACCATAAAGAACAAAGGAGAGAAGCCAAGATTCCAACTTCCGGACGCCGGGAAAGACCAGGTCACAGGTCAAAGTCCTGGGATCCTCACCGGGCTAAAGCAATTGCTGACAGTGTGGAGAAATCTCACACACTGAAGGATGCACCCTGCGAACAGCTCCATGAAAGTGCACCGACTGTAGACTCCACCTTGGATGTTCAACCGATTCAAGAGCTTTGTGGAGTTTATAGCTCTGCGTACCCTGAGAGCAGCACATTAAGGATAGAGGACAAAATCAGGCTGAGAGAGAATAAAGTCCGAAGTAGGGAGTTCAGGAATGGCAGAGTAAGAGAAATTAAACGTCAGGATGGAGACTTAAGACATGTTCATGACCAAAAGAACATTGTAGATCATGCTACACATTGTGATACAATAGAAGTACCCCTCTCGTGGCCTAAACCTACAATTCAACATAGACTTTCCCTACATCTACTGAACAGTAAAGAAGAGTCTCATCACCGTCCTGATCTGTTGTGCTCACACCAGCAAGTTAGCAATAGTACTAGCCATCAGCTCTCAGATGGTCAAACATTGGACAGAAACACAAGCCAGACTGAGAGTGAAGTGTATACAGATGATGAATATCGCATCTATCAAAAGGCAGTGGAGGATGAGGATGGTTGTAGCTCTGTCTGCCTGAATGAGGAATGCGCTCTTGACTGTGAGATATCACAGACCGTTACAGCTCATTGCAGTGAGCCTGTTTGTGCAGATGGTGGCAGGGATGGACATTTCGTTGAGGAACATACTCATCACAAACCCACCAGAACCACATACAGGTCGCATGAATACAGATGGCAGCCTTCTGATCACCAGATCCTTCAGAAAGGTGC